CAAAAACACTAATTCCGAGATAACTGGCTTAGAAAGTGAAAACGAAAGTGACAACAATCTAAATCTATTCGAAGATGGTTTTTAAATGGAGGCGTGGGGTGGAGGGTAGGAAGGGGAAACGAATAGCCTTTATATTTTTTTACCTATTTACCATTTATAACTCAATATTTGTTCATATAAGTGATTAAAAAATAAAAGTTTATATTGTTTTTCTTAAAGGAAACATGCCACCCCCCCCTTATTTTGAGCCCCGTTTACCCTAACGAATATTTCGTAGTGTCATGAGGTTAAAGCTGTAAACATTTGCTTTTAGTATATTAGTTATATTTTAGCTTTTAGAAACATATTAGTTATATTATAACTTTTAGAAAGGTTAAAAGTTAGAAACTAAGTTTGAGCAACGAGACTTAATTTTTAGCCACATTTAGAGATACATAAGTATCTATAAATGTGGCTAGAAATTAAGTCTCGTTTCTCAAACTTAGTGTCTAACTTTTAACCTTTTAACAGTATGCAAGTACTTGCATACGGCCTACACCAGAACCTTTTACAAGTTTTTTACATCAATGCATAAACAAGACTAAAAAAATTAAAATAAATCGTGATATAAAGTGAAAATATAAATCAAGCCACAATTATTATATATAATTAAAAAAGTATTGTCAGAACTTCTAAAAACGCCAATGTATATATATATATATATATATATATATATATATATATATATATATATATATATATATATATATATATATATATATATATATATATATATATATATATATATATATACAAAGTAAATATAGTAAGACATCTCTTTATAATAAGAAAGAGAAAATACATCGGTCTTGCAATTAAAAAAAGACAAATACGTGGTTGTTATAAAAAGTGTTTAAATATATCATCATTTTTGGTATAACAAAACTATATAGTTGTTATAGACAGTTATGGTATAACAGTCTTATTCCAAAGTTATGGTATAACAGTCTTATTCCAAAGTTATGGTATAACAGTCTTATTCCAAAGTTATGGTATAACAGTCTTATTCCAAAGTTATGGTATAACAGATTTATTCCAAAGTTATGGTACTCGAAATGTTATGGAAAATTTGTTCTGCGAATTGTTTCATATACAAAATTTTTATTTCTAAGTAAATATTTATTAACCGTGTTTAGAGAAAAATGGTCTTTAAAGATAGGTAAAGTTAAACCGTTTTTTCCACATGTAAATGTAAAATAACCTCGTAAACATAACAATATGACCTTGGTTGAATTTATTCAAAGCAAAGCAACAAAATAGACTTTCAGCTTGAGACATCTGTTACACTACGAAAGACTAAAAAGATTGAATCTACCATCATTGACTAAGTGTTTTGGTTGGGCAGCGATAAGCTTAGGGTTAGAGGAAATTTTCCGCACTTTCCCTGCGTTTTACACATTGAAAACTTCTGCATTTTACCTGTGTCCGCAATAACATTTTATGATACAAATTGCTCACTTGAAAATATAATAACAGCACTTAAGCATTTTCCATTAGCGTAGCAACTGCAAAAAGATCCTTAAGCACATTAAAACACATTTGTGGACATCAATAGCGAAAATCGTTTTGTATGCACTAATCCTAATAGCTATTGAAGTAGATGCAGAAATAGCAGTTCCATTAAATTTAAAAGGTGTTAATTTGCTGCTATAAACAGTGCCGACGACGAAAATTGGCTATTGTGCCCCCTGCCCCTCCCCCCTAAAAACCCGTGTTGTCGGCCAACAAGAAAAAAACTTTCACTAGATTTTCTACTTACTAGATTTGCATAGTGTAACATTCTGGTTTCTATTTAATTAAATCAAATTTGTATAATTTTTGCCAAGAAATATATCAAAAAAAGGAAGGGGGGGGGGGGGAAGCAGAGAAGTAATTTAGGGGCAAGGATTAAAATTTTGCGGGGAGGCCTATTTTTTGTCGCTACGCTCTGCTTGCCCAACGCATACTTCAAAACATTAAAAACAAAAAAACATTTAGTTTGTTTGACATTTCTCTGTACTTAGTTAAAACTTAAAATGTTACTTAATATACTTAATTCTTAAAATGTTACAACATATTTTAACATTTTAAGAGAAATGATAAAAACCAGTTTGCGTACAGTAATTAAAAAAAAAGAATTCAAATAGTTTTCTTTGACGTCTTTTTGCTTCTCATCTCGCTACCAATCAAATTACGTTGCCAAAAATAAAAAATATTATTTGGAACGATTGTCGCTCGATTTCTTTTTTCTCTCCTAGATATTTATAAATGAATTTAAAAAAAGAATTGTAACTGAAGTCAGAAAAAAAAAAAAAAAAAAAAAATGCTGATTTGTTACACACGTGAAATTATATATTCAAAAAAAAAAAATCAAGTTTAGGAAAGACCCCCTCCCCCTTTGTACGCGTTCGTATGTTTTTGGAAACCCCTCCTCCCATTCATACTTAGTACTTTATGGATGGCCCAAAAATATAAATTGTAATACTATTTTACTTTACTATATTTCTTTGTACATCAAATATATCTTAATATTATTTTAATTATTTTAGAAGCATTTTGAATGTATTTGTATTTAATATTATATGTATAATATATATATTGTTGAAACTTGTAGAAAAAAAGAAAACGAATATAACAAGAAAAAAAAACAAAAAACTACGCATTTATCGTATGTGATAACTTCGAGAAAAATGTTTTGTTTGCATGTGTTTTTGTGAAATATTTAGAGTTAAAAGCTTTTTTTCATCAAAATGAATTTCAGAAAAAGTTTTCGTACAAAAAAATAGAATAAAGGTAATTAATATACTTTTTAAATGTCAGTAGTGCATAATTTTAAATTACATATATAACAATTTCTTATACACTACTTATATTTTATATCATATCAACATAATTTCATTTTTAAAGTTGTAATATATCCAGGGGCAGATTATAACTGAGGCAATTTAGGCACGTGCCTCTGGCCCCCGAATCCTCTACTTAAAGTAATTAAAGTTACGTGCCATTGGAAAGAAAGAACAAGAAAGCAAAAACAGTTTCCGTAATACTATATGTTCCTTTTAATACAAAACAACAGTTACAAAACTCCGTAACAGCCATGAGTAGACTAAGTTGATAGTTAAAATTGTTAAAAATGTGGCGTGCTTTTCTAAAATGGAAACTTTTTCTCATTGAACAACAGTTATATAGCAGAAAAATAAAAGTCTAGAACCAGAAAGTCAGGGTGAATATAAAATTAGAGAAGTTCAAAATCAAGAACCAGTCGATCTTGATCCGGCTATAGCTGAAGCAGACGTTGATACTGAACATGTACAAAAACAAACAGGGGTAGACCTGCCAATTGTTTATGAAACTGATCTGGGTTTATGAAAAACAGTTTCATCAAGCATGCATTTTATCAGCACCGTTGGTATTAAATATCAACATAAAAATGAAGGATTTTTACAATCGATTTTGTTGAAAAGGAAGGGGAAAAAGCAATCTTAAATGAATCTAAGTATTGGTTATCTGTTCTTCGGCAGACAGTGGATGTTGCAAAGTCTTTAGCTGAACGTGGTTTGCCACTTTGTGAACATGAAGAGAAATTTGGTTCAATACACAATGGTAACTTTATGGGCATCCTTAAACTATTAACTCTTAATGACCTTTTTTTAGTTGCACATTATTGATAAGCATGACAACCCAGGTTGCGGCAAAATATTATACTTTTTTTCTACTGTCTGTGATGAACTCATTAATTTAATGGGTCAAAAAGTACTTTTGTTTATTGTTGATGAAATACAATAAGCAAAGTACTGTAGTGTATCAATTGATTCAACACTTATCGCAACAACCTGACTTATCGCACGTTGATCAGTTATGTAAACAATGTTTTATTTTAACTGACATTTCCAACAATCCAACTTCAGAAGACGCAAAACCATCAACATCGCAGTGTAAGATGTTGAAGATTTCTATAATATATAAAACTATTCAAATATTTCAAACTTTCCAAACTACCCTTTGCAGGTTTAAATGTTGAATAAAATTGCCAAATGTTTTAAGTTAGGTTGTAGAATATGGACTCGCATCATTTCATTTGCAAAAGGCGCTCAATGTTTTAATTGCTGACAACAGTCAGATTTACTATAAATGTAAGCTCTCAGTCTATAACTTCACAATACTTGATGGCAGTAATACTAATGACTAATGCTATCTTCAGGATAAAGTTAATTGTGAGAAAGGAGCTACTGAGATTTCAATATGCCTTCTTAATTACTTGTTCCATTTAACCCCACAATTAACCACCTTCTCAATTACTTGTTCAATTTACCGACACAGTTAACCACATTGTCTAATTCATTGATACTCGTGGAGGGCAAAATAGGAATAAGTAAATTATAGCGGCTATGCTTTAACTCGAATAGCAGGTAGCTAATTTAAACATGATTAATTTCATGTACATGGAGCTACTCTCCATGTATTTCAAATCAATGAACCTACATTTTTATTTGGAGAGACTCTATAAATATGAGCATAGAGAGAACAAATTTATTTATGAAGAAATGTCTTATTAATGAAACGGAAAAAACAAAAAAGATTTTGATTTCATCAACAATGGATTGAGGTAAGTTGTCAGGAACTTTAGATAATGTAGGCCAGGTTGTAGGTTACATTACTCCTAATTTAAATGTTACTAGTATTGTATTCCTTAATACGTATATAAAATGGTGTTTAGGCGTATATAAAATGGTGTTTAGGAACAATAAATTTTGTTACGTTTGTTACTGTCGATGACTAGAACTTAATATAAAAAAGTTTCGATTAATTAATTAATATTAATCAGCAAAATAATCTTAAGAAAATTATTTTACTTAAGCATTATCATTATAGTATTTTATTAACTGAAAAAGAAAAATACATATAACAAAAAATTTAAAAACATTAAAACAAAAAAGGGGTAGTAAAAAGGGGTAAATAAGGGGAAATAATTAGAGAGGGCAAAACAAAAAAACTTTGTGTATTAAGTAGTCATAACCATAAATACAAAATCGCAAATATAAATCAATTATTTACTATTAAAAATTTAATATTTAATAAATTACACATATCAAACAGCTGTAAAAACAATAAATATTTTAAGTAATTTCGTTTGTCATGTCAAACGTTTCATTTCCACACATTCCCTACACATAAATTTATTTGGTTCAGCAGATTGCTTACACATACAAAACTGAGGTATTACAAAATTTCCCAATTGAAGTATAAAATATAATCGATAGCTTTTAATGAAAAAATTGTCGTAGTCAACTCTCACACCAAGTAGTTTATTTTTCATCTATCGTCTTTTTATTTTTTTTATTTAATATTTTCATTAGCTTTTTTGACATATAATATGGCTTATCAGGTGATCCATCATGTCTCTCGCAGTCTTCCACTATATTTAAATTTTTAATTTAATAAAACGTAATTAAAAGCATCACATTAATCTAATAAAAATAAATTAATAAAGTAAAGAAAACAATGGAAATAAACTTACGAAAACAAAGAAATATTGTGTTAATAGCCATTTCATAGACTCCAAAAAAAGCTGTGGAAACAACCCACGCTCCAACAGTTATAATCTAAATAAGAAATAATAAAAGCATTCATTACACCCACACCTCTAACAATACACCGACAACCATTACAAAATATCCATTCAAAAAATTTGCTAAGAAAAATTTTTAAAAATATATTTTTTTATATTTTCTTATTTTAGTAGAAATATTTTCACAACTATTTATACACTACACTTACTACATTATAATTTACTATAAATAAAAAATAAAATTTTTATTTCTAATTAAGTAGAATTAAAAATCAACGTTGTTATTAAAGTAATAAACAGTAGAAACTAGATAACCGGTATTGAGTCTCGGTTTATCATCTGGTATCGGGGCGATACCTTACAGTATCGATATGGAGATCACTCGATACTGGTATCAAAAATCGGTTACGTTGTCATCGTTTGGTACCGATAGTATCATTTGGTATCGCAGCTCGAACCTTATTTAATGTATAATGTATAATCATATAATGTAATGTATGTTCTAATGTATGTTACCAAACATGTTTTAACAAACAAACCATCATTTTGGGTACTGATTCCATACCCTAAAATTGACAGCAGGTTATAATAAAGTATATATACTTTTTATTTTAGACGACCGTACCATTGGGTTAAAGTGGTAATAAACCGATACTGATGGTATCAAATTAGTATATAAGCAATACCACATAATACGTGGCCATCTTTCTCCGTAACTTTCACGATACCGATTATCTAGTGTCTAATAGACAGTGTTTTTAATTAACGCAAACTATCTCAATGAAAATTTAAAGTTTGCAGGACTGAATGTTGTAATACTACTGCAGTTTTTTTAATTTTTTAGCCAAATACCTTTAGCATTGCCACATTATTTTTCTGATGCAAACAAGCAAATGCTCAGTTTTTGCTTTTCTTAAGCAGAAATTAAACGAAAAGGTCTAACACATTGTAATACATAGATATGTAATTCAAGACATGAATTGAACAAAAAAGTGTTCTTAAAAAATATTTGTAAAGGCTTTTTGGGTTTTTTATGAACATGAAACACATTTTTAAAAACATTTATCAACGTCTAAGAAAACGATCACAATTTTAGCATTTTCAAAAAAACTCCATTAATAATAATATTATGAAAAATTACTAACCCAAGGACAATTTTAAAACATAACACCCCGAAACTTTAATTTATTTATTCTATATATACATTAGGTTACATAGACTAGCTGATTTTTTTGTAATGAATTTACAAATAATGGCTTGGTAATCATAATCTAAATTTTGTTTATAAACTTTTGTTACCCTGTAACCTGATGAAGTATGATTCTAATACTTGCTAATACAAGTACAAATACAAGTCCAAATACAAGTCCAAATACAAGTCCAAATACATCTAATACAAGTCCAAAAAAAACTCTTTAAAATTTTTTCGTAGAGTCTGAGGATGTTTTTGCTAGATTTTTTACCCTGATTGTTAGTAATAAATTTAGTTATGTGCTTAATAACATGAACTTTAGGTGAATTTGAAATTCTGAGGGCTTTGTATGGTTTCTCAAAAAAAAAAAAAAAATGCTATTGAAGGTATTTGAGGACATTCATAAAAGATATATGCCTGACTGCACTCAGTGTTTTAAATGCAGCAATAACCTTTCCACTGATACAGATTAGCAGCTTAAATCTTCTTGATAAAACTTTTGTTTTATTGAGATCTAGTAAGGGGAAGTTCACACAACTTTTTTAACTTGCTACTGGAAGTTTTTATTACTTTAAATAAAAACTTTCTGATAATTATATTGGAAAATAACTATATTGGAATTTAATCATTCCTAAAATTCACTAAAATAACTTAATTTCCAGAATTGTTATTAGAAATTTCAAACCAAGGTTAAGGATATGTAAACATAGGTAAACTTAATTAAAAAAAACATTGGCAATTTTATGCCTGCAGCTAGTGTGAAAGCAACGTTTTCAAAATAAAGTAAATTTGCTTCAAGTTCTTATAAGCTAGGAAGATTCAAGTGCTATGTCATATTGGCTTAGTTTTCCAATTAAATTTGGTTTAACTGATTTGCAACCTGATCAAGTCGGGAAAAAAAAAGTGGTTGCTTTGTGAGTCTCTTTCAAAGAAAGCCTCTTTAGTTTCTTTAGAGTCTCTTCAAAAAAAGTCTTATTTTAAGAGTCTTTTTTAAAGAATATTAGAATATTGAAGAATTTTAAAGAATATTGAAATCTGCTAAATTTAATTGCAGAAAGATGATTGGAACAGCAAAACAGTACTCTTGATTTTTTAGAGTATATACTCTGTAACATTCCTTTTTTTGCTTAAATAGCATATAATTTTCCAAATTTGAAACTTTTTTACAATTATATTGGAAGTAATAACTTCTGCACTGGCAACTTGGTCAATAATTGTCAACTTAGCCTATAACAAGTAATATCATAAATAAGACAACAGCGCAAAGGACTTGATCACAGTTATAAGAATAACTTTAGAAAAATCAAAAGGTAGATCTTAATTTTTTTTCTTCCCCTATTTTCAATCTTTAGATGAATTTGTCTACATCTAACACATATTGCAGAAGGAAAATATTCTTCAAATTTTTAATTCTTGCAAGGTTTAAGCCTCTTCTAACTGGCACCATATCTTTACCTATTTGAAAGCACAACAAACACACTTTAGCACAATTTTTAGTGTGTGATCAAGCATTATTAACCATTTTGATAAAAAGAGCAAAGAAATATATAAAATATAAATACTTGAATATGGATCGCCCACAAATTACATCACGCAATTTTTGACAATTTTTGAACCTTCCCTCCTAAGTAACAAAGCGTCACGTATTACTGACCCTCACCTTCCTAAAATTACACAACAAATTTGTACCCCCCACCTTCTCTAAAAATTTTTTGTTGCTGTTTTACATGCAAAAATATTATTAATTTTCTTATATTTATCTTATAAATGTATTTTAATATTTATACATATAAATATTTTATACATATAAATTTTAACTACTATTATTTAATATTATTTGAAAGTCATTATTTGTGCACACGTACAAATATACTAATACAGTCCACAAAAATACTAATATAAAAATGTTTTGTATATTGATGTATCTGAAAATTATTTTATATGTTCTAACTATTATCGTCATTTAATTATAACTATATTTATTTATCATTTAAATTTTTTATAGTTTCACACAATAATGATAATCAATCTTACATAAATCGACTGAACTTTTAGCAGTCGCAGTAGACCTCTAAGCCATAAAATTATTCATGGCAGGCTAAAATGGTTTCATGGCTGGCTAGCCAATATTTTTGTGGCTGGCTAGCTGAATAATTTTCATGGCTGGCTAGCTCACTTCATATCATATCATAATAAGAAATGTTAGTTATTTTTTAACTTCAGTTAATACAATTTAAAATTAACTGATAAGTCTTTAACAAACATAAAAAAAATACCTTTTTAAAATTTAATTATGTAATCAAAACTGTGAGTATAGTAGTAATGCAAAATGCAGAAGTAATCTAAAAAGCAAGCATTGTCTTATAAAAAGTAAATTCATATCAAGATGTCTATTAAAAAATACATGACACAGCTCATAGACCAACAATAGGGTAATTATCATGGATAAAACAAACTGCATTCATTCGATATGGAGTCTAGGATGATCACTTTCCATTCAGTATGATACTAGTTGTACTAAAAAGGCATTTTACGGGTACATTTTCAATGCTCAATGCAAGATAAACTTGAAGCAATAAAAGTTATTTATAATAATGAACATGAACATCAAGAAAAATATATAACTACCTATCATTTATTATTCATAAATCGAATCTTCTATATTTTATTTTGACCATATTAATTTATTTTGCTATTTTCCATTGTTACAAATCATAGAATAAAGATGAAGATAAAAATAGTTCATACCTTTGTTATGGATGCTAAAATTGGAAATTTTTTAGCATTCTGCTCGCAAAGCTGGTGATTCGTCATGAATGCTAAAATGAAGATTGATTTCCGCTTGCAATCCAGTACTATTATCTGGCAATCTTTCCAAACTTGGTGACAATTTTGCTGTCTTGTGTATTAAAAAGAGTTAAAGTTTTTAAAATCTTGTTATGCACTGGCACCTTTACGGTTCTGATTTATCTCAACAGCTGATGCAGATAAAGTACTATTTATCTTCATGGATTCTACTGAATGTTCTTTTGTTTAAACCAAATATTGAAGTTTTTATTTCATTGTAGCTGTTTTTAACAAAGTTTCACATTTTTCTTTGTGAACACAACATCGCAAATCACTGGATCAAAACAACAAAACTTCAACCAAACTAGTAATAGTCAGCCGTTTTTCAAATAAATTGTTCAACTAACTTTTTATATTGCTTTATAGCTAAAGAATCTGTCACTTAAGCAATGCAGTAACTTTTAATTATAGTTACCATGAGTGGAAGACAAGACAAGTTTGGTGACACCACGCTAACAAGTAGAGTAAATATTTAGATCTAAGAGAGTAAATATTTAGATCTTAGATTCAATCATTTCAAGAGTACTATTCCATCTGGTTGGTACTATTGGTTGGAACACTATTTTTTTAATAAACTGTGCACATGAGAATTAGGTAACTTTGTTTGTGGATAAATACTTCTATTTTGAGTTTCATTTTCAAAATCCAGAATTGGATGCTCTTCATCAGCAATTAGCTACTCAACATGACTTGTAGTTTTTTTTTAAAAAAATCCTCGTCATTCAGAGTTTTAATTTTCTTTGATAGGATATATCCTTTAAAAAGTAAGGTATTGATTACTTCTTTGCATTTTTGTACCAGAAAATTTAATTCTGTAATTTTGTGTAAGCTATCTGAGGTTAATAGGAGGTAAATTCCATGGGCAGTGCATGTTATATGTTCATGACCTAAAAGCTTGGATAGTCCTATCATATTAGCTGCACCATTAGTTGTATTAAAAAACAAAAAGGTTTTCTCTTGAGAAAGAAATTCTTTTAAAACAGTTTTAACAAACTGATCAGGTGATCAGAAGTGTGGAACTCCACTGGTTGAAGCTCCCATGCTTTGGATGTGGATATATATATATATATATATATATATATATATATATATATATATATATATATATTCATATAAAGGCTGGTGTTGTAAAAAATATTGACCTTTAGTTGGGTTAGATATCTTCATTTCTAATTTCACAGAAACTTTTTTTTTTTATATGTAAAGTTAATAAAGTCTATATTTTTTATAATATAGTTATAATATACAATCTATTGATTTCGAACTGCAAATGACACATTAAAATTATTACTTGGGATTTACTGCATTGCCAAATATATAACAATAACAAAAAAATGGGATATTATAAACTAATTTAACAATAAAATGATATAAATAATTTATTATTATTAATTTAGTTATGGGGCTGGATATGTCACTACTTATTTTCATAGTTGGCTAAAGATACTTTCATGATTGGCTAAAAATAAATCAAATTTAAACGGCGACTTGCGGGTCTATGTCGCAGTGCAGATTATATTTAAAATTTCTATATTTTATGCTAATGCATATTAACTATTATTGTTGTGCAATAATTATTATAACATTTTTATTTAATAATTATATTATTGTTAATACTATTGAAGATATGTTGGCTATATCATTGACTCATAAAACCATAGGCATGTATATTAATCAACTAAAATTTAAATCAATTTATAAAATGTCAACTCTAATAAAAATTAAGTCAATTTAAAAAGCCAATTCCAATTTATGTTAAATTGGAACAGCTGCAGTATTTTAGGCTTTTAATCAATAGAAAAGATTTTCTAGATTTGAAACTTGAAAAAAACGAAAAAAAATGTTGTCACAAAACTGAATACCCCCTCCCCTTGTTACAAGTCGTCACAAAATTGCTTTAAAGGTTTTTCAGCCAATACTTGTTGATAATTGAATATCTTCAACTTTAAAATGAAGCTCACATACTAAAGTTACTCTTTTATAATGAAATTCTTAATACCCCCTTTTCTTCTAAACTAAAAAATAATTTTAAACCATTTCAAATAAGAAGTGTCTTTAGAAATTTTAAATAATCCAATGCCTGACTAGTTTGAATCGTAAAATGTAGTTTTGCATTGTGGAATAAGCAACACTGTCTTCAAAATCAAGTTTTTCAACTTTTTTTAATGTACAGGCAAAATATACAGACAAAATATCAAACAACGACTGGTATATATCTAGAACCATATCTAGTGATACTTTATTAACCATATCTAGTGATACAATATCTAGTGATACTTTATAATATTTTTTAAAAGACATTTAAATGCAGTTATTATTAAAATGCAGTTAATTTTTCATTTTTTATTTATTTTTTTATTCACCTCCCCAAGGCCCGAGGGGGCCACTACAGTCGAGGAGGCTACTAATTTTTTTTTGGTTGTAAATCGTGGTACAACCCTCTCTTAACTCTTTAACTCTGAAACACGAACCTTGACAAGCAAGGCCGCTGCGTGGAGAAATTAAGTTGAGGGCGGTACTTCCAGGGACATGGTGGGAGTCGAACTCCGAACTCTCGCTTACAAAGCGAGCGCTCTTACCACTACACCACTACTGCATTTTAGTACTACAATTAGTACTACAAATGCAATACATAAAAGACAGAAGTTGCTTATACTAAAATAAAAAATTGAATTCGACTCAATAAAATTTTCAATCAAGAACTAATAAAACCTTCAAGTCTTAAATATCTCTATATATTAAATATCTCTCTATATATATAGGAGTCTTTTCTTTTTTCATTAATACCAATTTTCATTATAACAAAATAAATATAACAAAGTAAATTTAATGTATATCAAAACAATTTAAAAAATCACAGGTCAAATAAAATATATGGGTTAACACTACCAGTAGGTTAAAAATCAAAATAATAACTGTAATACATACCACTATTGGAGTAAAATAGTAATTCATATTTTTTTCTTTGTGAAAAAAGTAAAAACTTGCAATTCCTGAAAAAAAAGGTTGCTCTATTATACTTGAAGCTTTTGTTAAAAAAAATTTATTTAAAAAATTATCTTTCAAGTCATTTAGAAAATTAAAAATCATTAATACCCATCCCAGCAGTTATTGACAACTTTCCAATGAAAAGTAAAAAATCTGTCACTTTATCTAAAACTGCTACCCTGTAAAAGAAGAAAAACTGATAATAATTAAAAATATAGAAATGAATAGTTCCAAAAAATTGTTAAAATCTATTTTGTATGTGCTATATTTGATTTTTTTTTAAATATTTTATTTAAACTAATTTAAAACTAATTTTTAAACTAATTTCTCTTTTTTACTTTATTTATCTCTATTAAGCCTACAATCCAAACAAAAACCGTCGCTATGTGTAAACAAAGTTGCTATGTACAGAAACAGGGATGCTGTGTCCCAAAAAGGACTCCCGATTTGAAAGTCACAAAAAGATTACTTCATCCTATGTTTTGGTATCCAGGAGCTCTAAAAATATAAATAAGTTTATGGACTACTAATAAGAAAAAAATTAAGACTTTTAGGTTAGAGAAACAATCATTTTTTGAACATGGGGTCCTTAGGTATAATGGCGGCAAGGACCCCGGAGTCCAGGCTTAAAAACAATAAGTTCCAAGTCATTAAATATCATTAATTTTTTTCTTATAGCAGATCATAAGTGAATAAACTATAATTAAAGCTTCTGAACACTACAGACTTGGAAAAAGTAGAAATATAAAGCCGGAGTCTTTTTGGGACGCTGCATCCCTAGTAGATTTGAAACACAAACCTCTTGATTGTCAGTAGAGTGTTTTGCCACTAGACTACTACCACATTAATGTATTGATAAAAAATTATTCATGGTATCTAGGTGAGTGTAAAGAACAATTTAGAAGGTTTTTCAGTTTCAGTTGCATGGTATGTATGAACCTTTTAAATTTTGTAAGTAACAAATATCAATTTCAAGATTCAACATTAACTTGATGTTACTTTAAAAAAGTTACACAAGGCTCACAGAGATTAAACTACAGTCAAGAAGGTTCAAATCTACCTTACACAAGGCTCACAGTCAAGAAGGTTCAAATCTACCCTATGCCACTGCAACTGGCATAGGGTAGATTTGAACCTTTTGACATTAAGAAGACATTAAGTTAAGATATTTTTCTTAATTTAATGTCTCCTTACTTTTATAATTGACCATCCTGATAATTGATCATCCTGCTACTGGTAACATGTAACCCAGTGCAACCTGTTCCATGTTCTGCTGCCTTGCAGGATTTGCTATCTAAGCAAAGGCTGGAAGGAGTGTTCTTCCTGTCATCAGTACTATTTTATATCAGTCATGCCTATAGTAATTTTTTTTTTTTTCCATATAGTTGGAGGTGCCTTAGTTACTGTATTAGCTCATCTGTAATCTACGTTATATGTATATTTGTGTTCTGTCTGAACCTCTGGCGCGGTGTTCGCTCACCCTTAAGTTACTTTATGTTCTTTATGTATGTCTGTGTTCTGTCTGAACCTCTAGCGCGGTGTTCGCTCACCCGTAAGTTACTTTATGTTTATGTTTATGTTTTTTATGTTTTTTTTTATGTATGTTTATGTTCTGTCTGAACCTCTGGCGCGGTGTTCGCTCACCCGTAAGTTATTTTATGTTTTTTATGTATGTTTGTGTTCTGTCTGAACCTCTGGCGCGGTGTTGACTCACCCGTAAGTTGATTTATGTTTGTTTGTGTTCTGTTTATACTCTAATGCAGCGTGAGCTCAGTAACTAACTACTTACTCCAACTACAAAACGTACACTCACCTTAGACTCCTGTATTTTGTTAGATGCAGTGTTTTTCCTAATGCACTTCAAAAATGTCATGCCTGGTTTTCTCAAAGTACTGTTGCGGGAAGTAACTCCTTTTAACTACTCCAGGTCAGGTCAGGATAATCGAGATCAATCTTGCTACTGGTATCACGTAACCCAGTACCACCTGCCACAAGCCCTGCTGCCTTGCAGAGTGTGCTCTTCTTATGCAAAGGCTAGAAGAAATAAACTCCGACTAAAAATTCCCCTGCCTTGGGGCTCTTGGTTGAGTAAAGGCTAGATATGGTGTCTCAATAAAAATACTCATCTTGGGCAGATGTTAACTGCATCCTGCTACTGTCTTGTAGAAGGCCTCCTAGGCAAAGACTTTAGGGGTAAGCAGAAAAATTCTGCTAACCAGCCTCGAACCCCTTCTTCATCTATTAGGCTGGCGTAGATGTAACCTGTGTTACATTATTTCCTGCCTAGGATGATGAATGCTGGATCTCCTTGACTCTACTCATAGAATTTTGCTTATGCCTCCTTGATAATGGCTATGCAACTCTTCCTGTTATCTCCATATGAGGGTACAGCTCTAAAACTCAGTTTAATGGTTCTGAGGCCGGCTGGTAGTAAGGTTTCCCGAACTCTGTGGTAGCTCTCAGAGAGGCTGATTCCATCAACAGCTGCAAAATATCAGAGTATTAACAGTGCCATGTTGCGCATGGATGGTGTCCCTGTTAATGCTTTTGGTCTTCGCGGTCTACGAAGCAACTTTTCATCAGTTGAGCCTTACCTCCTGCAAAATTCACCAGACTTGCTTGCACTCAGTGAAACAAATTTAAGTTCTGCAATTCCTTCTTCAGATGTCAGTGCTGATGGGTACTATCCTTTGATTCATAAAGACTCCAATAGTCACATGCTAGGTTTAGGGGTATACATACGCATTAATTCCCCTATTTGTCCTGAAATCAGGTTCGAATCCTTTGACCATTCTTTTATGTGCTTTCGCCTTGCACCTCTTCACTCTATCACCTTTCTCTTTGTTCTTTATCGTTCTCCTTCTTCCCATGATTGCACTCTTTTAGATGTTATCTATGATCAAATTGACCATGCCCTCTCTCTTTACCCCTCTGCCAATATTGTTGTTGTTGGTGATTTTAATGCCCATCACACTGAATGGCTTGGCTCTAACACCACTGATCCTGCTGGCACTAAAGCTTTTAACTTCTGCGTTTCTCAATCTCTTACTCAGATAGTTAACTTTGTGGCTCATTTCCCTGACAACCCTAATCATTTACCTTCACTCCTTGACTTATGTCTTGTCTCTGACCTTAGCTTATGTTCAGTTTCTCCCTTTTCTCCCTTAGGTGGTTCTGACCATGCAATGATCTCTATAAATCTTTCTTCTCGTACTTCTTTTTTGGGCTCACCTTATCATCGCACCACCTACTACTACCCTAAAACTGACTGGGATTCCTTTCGTGATTTTCTTCATGATGGTCCTTGGGCTGATGTTTTTTCTCTCTCAGCTGACAAATGCGCCTCCTACGTAACCTCCTGGGTTCAGGCTGGAATGGAAGCTTTTATTCTTTCTCGTCGGTTTCAAGTTAAGCCTCATTCTACTCCATGGTTTTCTCCTTCTTTTGCAGCTGCTATATCCAATCGTAACCATTTTTTTCATCTTTTTCAAAAGAACAACTCTCTTGAGAACAAACGGCTATTTATTATTGCAAGAAATCGATGTAAAAAGGTGCTTTCTGATGCTAAACTCCATTATTCTCAGTTCACTAAATCTCGCATCTTATCGCAGAAGTTAGTCTCTAAAGACTTTTGGAAAATCTTCAACAGCATTATTAACAAGGGTAGATCTAACATTCCATCTCTCATTCCATCTCTCATTCCATCTCACATTTCATCTCTCACTCAATTAAACTCGTCTACAGCTTGTGGTCCAGACAACATTCCTGTCACAGTCTTGCAGAATTGTTCTCCAGAACTTTCTTAAATTCTCTCTAAACTATTTAACAAGTGTTTGACTGAGTCTTGTTTTCCTGCTTGTTGGAAAATGGCATCTGTGGTTCCAATATTCAAAAACTCTGGAGAAAAATTATCGTCAGATCAGTCTTCTTTCTGTTATTAGCAAGGTCTTTGAGTCTTTGATCAACAAATTCCTCACATCTCATCTTGAGTCAAATAAACTGCTGTCAGACAATCAATACGGTTTTCGATCCTCTCGCTCTACGGCCGACTTGCTAACTGTTGTAACTGAAAGATTTTATCGTGCATTAGATGGAGGCGGTGAGGCTAGGGCTATTGCTCTCGACATATCAAAGCTTTCGACAAAGTTTGGCATGCTGGTCTTCTCCATAAGCTTGCTTCATATGGTGTTTCTGGGAAAGTTTTTGAGATTATCAAATCATTTCTTTCTGACCGGTTTATTAAAGTCATCCTTGAAGGCCAACACTCTTCTTTATTTCCAGTAACTTCTAGTGTTCCCCAAGGTTCCATCCTGGGCCCTGTTTTGTTTCTTATCTACTTAAACGATCTTCCTGACAACCTTTCATCTAAAGTAGCTCTTTTTGCTGATGACTCAACTTTATACTCCTGTCTTGACAAAAAGTCTTCTCTTTTCGATCGCCTAGAACAAGCAGCTGATCTTGAATCTGATCTCACTTCAGTAATAGATTGGGGTTCACAGTGGCTTGTGAATTTCAACTCTAAAAAAACCCAATTGCTTACTGCAAACAACTACCGTAATATGGTCAACATTCCTATATTAATGAATGGCAATCCTCTTACTGAGTCCTCCTCTTTATGTCTTCTTGGATTATCGCTTACTACTGACCTTTCATGGAAACCATATATACAATCGATTGCTAAATTAGCTTCTGCTAAGGTTGCTTCTCTTTATCGTGCTCGCCATTTCCTTACTTCTGATTCCATTCTCTACCTCTACAAATCTCTTATTCGTCCCTGTATGGAATACTGTTGTCATATTTGGGCTTGTTCTTCTAACGATTCACTTTCTCTTCTTGACAAGGTCCAAAAACGCATTGTAAATGTTGTTGGACCTGGACTATCTGCTAAGCTTGAACCTCTTTCCCATCGTCGTAAAGTTGCATCTCTTTCTCTTTTCTACAGATACTATCATGGTCACTGCTCAAAGGAGTTATCATCTCTAGTTCCATCAACTAAAATTCATTCTCATTTTACTCGTCATTCAGCTAAGTCTCATTCGTTTACTGTATCTGTCCCTGCATGCTCTAAAAACTTTTATTCATCTAGTTTTTTTCCCCGCACTTCAATCCTTTGGAACTCTCTCCCATCTTCATGTTTTCCTGACTCATACAACATTCAACTTTTCAAGTCTTCTGTCAACCGTTTCCTTGCTCTATAACTCTGTTCTTTTTTTTTTTCCTAGTAACTCCCAACTTAATAGTGGTTGCTTGCAGCCTTGTTGGGAGTGAATGCAAATAAAAAAAAAATAAATAAAAAAAATCTCATAAATGCCATTTTCAGACCCTCTCTCCCCCATCTGAGTGTAAGTATTTTATGGACAATTCCTTAGTTGATCTAGTTGAAACTCATATAGAAAACTTTAACATTTTTTTTGAGAAAGATATAGTTGCCTCAACTTGTGATTGTGATTAAATATGGTAGAAAGGGCCCAGCAATTTAACAGTTATGTTTTAACTATGGCTTTTAGCTGTTTACGACACACTTAATAAAAAAAAAAAATATTTGAATTAAAACATATAAAAAAAGATTATACAGTGATGATAATAATAATGCAATATTGAATGAACATGATGTCGATAGTGATAGAGTAGAATGTTTTGAATATTAAAATGAAGCTAACAAGTTTCTTCAAAAGTTGAACTTCAAAATATATTGAATATTTAAGAAAACACCAAAAACATACATAAAATTTACTGCTTTTTTTTTTTAGAAATTCAACAATTAAAAATCATATTTTGCAAGACAAGATTAAATTTAGGCAAAGAGAAGAACATTTTTTAGAGCACAAACTATTTACATTACTTTGCAATACTGGAAAACAACCCCAAAATTTGAAAAAACTATTTGATGCTATTTGTTCCATCAACCAACATCAACCGATTCAGAGCGAGTGTTTTTAATATCAGTTAATTTCTGCACCAAAATCAGTTTCTAAAATTGTTTTATTTAAAGTTGAATAAAGATTCATAAAAATAAAATTATTAACTGCTGTTTTTGTCCAATATCCAACAGATTTCAAAAGTCTAAAAACTGAATGTGGCATTAATATCTTGCAATTTTTATGCTTTTGGTTTTTCTAGGATTTCCTATATTTCTAATTTCTGCTATATTACTAAAAAAATAAATAAAACAATGAAAAATAGCTCCATAAGCTCCATTAACATAATTTTGGAATTATGTCAATGCCATAACAGTTTAGGAAGAATACCTTTTTTATATTTGTGACATATGAGGACAAACTCAAGCTGTTTAGCTGTTTATGAAATGGTATTAATTTTAGACATAAATTTAAAATTAGACAACATATAACTTATCAATTTTGACATTTTTCAGAAATATCAAAATAAAACTAGGTAACATAAAAAGAAACCTTAAAATAAGAAAAAAGAAACCCTAAGATAAGAAAGAAAGAAACCTTAAAATAAGAAAAAAGAAACCTTAAAGAAAGAAATAAGAAACCTTAAAATAAAAAAAAAGAAACCCTAAGATAAGAAAGAAAGAAACCGTCTTCTAAACATTGTTATGTAAAGAACATTTAAAAAATGTATAAAAGACATTTAGAAAGTAGCTTTTAAAAGCAAATGCCCATAGGGTATTTATATACTGACAACATTATTTTGATTTTCAAAAAATCACCAAAAAAAGAAAATTTAGTCTGTTGAGTTTTAAAATTTTGCATATCATAATATAATATTTTCAGTATTTATATGTAAATATTAACAAGAAATAATCTTTTCAGTATATATTAGGGATGCGCCAATGCATTGGCATCAGCTTGCTGATGCATTGACTATTTAGCCGATGCATTGGCATTGGCCTTGATAACCATTGGCTGATGCCTATTGTTTTGAAAAGTTTTTAAATTTTTGTTTTTATTTCTGTGTTTCTATATTATATCCAAACATAGAATTACAGCATAAACATAAATACAATGTATAAGCCTAACTTATTATTAATTAGTTATTATATAGGCATATATGCAACCACTAAACTAAA